CTCTCTCTCTCTCCACATAGGTGGAATATTTTCTCCACATGAAGAGACTCAAATGTTCACACGAATCGTATATGTTGTGTTACCAACACAGAGGGAAACATTTACTTTAAATCAACCCCTCAACATGCTGTGTATTACAAAATATGCATGCGCATGTTGGATTTCATGAGTGATCAGTGCAGGGGGGGGGGTAATTAATTAATGAAATATATTTTGTTTTATATAAAGTGTGTTTGCATTGCATTGATGTGGGTGCCACAGCTGTAAGAGCTGCAGAGCAACATGGGTATTAAATTGAGGTAATTTAGCCTGGTTTTCCACACACACAGTTATAAATCTTACTTGTGTGTGTGGGGGGGGGATAAAAGAGTAGTAATAGTCACATCTATAAATATATTAAGCTCAAAAATCGGCCTGTGTGCACTGGCGCTTTTAGGTAATTCCCACTGGTGTTTCTGAGTGGTGTTTAGGGGAGCAAAGGCAACACACAGGTTTTTCCAGAGCAGGAGGAAGCCTTGCAGCAAACGAGACTACCAATGCACATTCCCTCTTACTCCCTCCCCTGCCTGCTCTGCTCTGCTCTCCTCTACCACCCCCTCTCCTCTCCTCTCCTCTCTGTCTGTCTCTCACTCCGGCAGAAACACTCCTCTGCTGAGTGTGGGGGGATGGGTGCACAGGCTCCAGCTCTCTCTCTCTCGCTCTCTCTCTCTCTCACCCTACTAACATTGAACTACGCCGTACAGGAAAAAAAAGAAAAAAAAAACCCAGACCTTATCTACCAGACAGAGGATGCATGAACAGTTTCAAAGTCTCCCAACAATTAGAAAAATGGAGCATTTGTCCCCTCTCTCCTCTCCTCAGTCAAATGAAGCAGACATTTTTGGCATCCACAGGGTGTGTGCACACAGCATTGACCAAGAGTGGGATGGTAATGAGAAGTGTGTGTGTGTGTGTGTGTGAAGGCTGAGGGAGTTTTTATTAAAAAGAATGAAATGTATATACATGACAAGGTAAATGAGGCGTTTAATGTCTCCATTGGGTATTGATTAAAATTAAGATTTTGGGTGAAAGTGGGACAAGATTGCCTTTCGGGTTCTCTTCTCACTCTCAATACACACTCACACACACACACTCACACACACGCACATTCACTCACACACGCACACAAACTGTCTCTCTCGCTCTGCTCTTTCACGCACACACACACCTACCTCTAGGGGGGTTTATAGGGAGTAAAAAAAGGCAGGAAGTACCAGTGAGAAGGCATACTTGATCACATGTACAAACATCGGAACACAATTTAACATTGTGCCTGACACACCCCCCTAATGCACGGAGAGCAGAGCCTCGTCCTCATATCAGACCACACGGGGTTAATGTGATTCCCCACATCAGTGCGAGCTCGCGGAGTGGATCACGCTTTATTTCAGTCAGACTACGACGATGCATGAGAAGTGCACACGAAGCCTCGAGTTCAAAATGTGTGTATGAGGGCGTCTAGACTCTGTGTTTTCACTGTGTGTGTGTGTGTGTGTTGGAGGGGGTTGCATTTAAAAATGCGGATGTTTAGGTTTGAAAGTGGGTTTCACAGGGAAGGGAGAGCACAGCAGCAGCAGTGGGGAGTAAACTCCTCCGAGTTAAAGAAGAGTTTTAGTTGCTTTTAGAAAGACACAGGGTCTTCCATCCCAGAGACCAGACACAGGGCCAGTTGTGCAGAAACAGATTTAATGTAGCTTCCTCTCCCCGCCTGACTTAATTTTTCTGCTCTGGCTGCTGGGAAAAGCTGGAGCAGACTTTTGTGGATCCGGGAGGAGGATTTACAAACACATGCGCCACCTGCTGGACAAAAGATAGACCCAGCATGCAAGGACTCGCTCTTGGCCAAAGTCATTACTTCTTGTGATGTTTTAGATTCCCCTCTGTTTGTGAAACGATGCTCCATGGACATTATGCAGTTATGTTATTAGTTAGGAACCGATGATTGTTTTAGATTTATGGGATTAACACTTTTTTGCATGTTGCATAATACCCTTTTGCTTTGCAACTGTATGATTCTGTAATAATAAAAAAACAGCAGTATCATAGCCTGTACTGTAGAAATATTATAGTATTATATTTGTTCTACCCAAATACTTCAAATCAAACTGATTGGATATTAACCAGCTCACTATCTGACCTATGCATAAGATTATTACAATTGGTAAATATGTAATGGTCATGTTAATATTTACCCATCCACTGCGCGCACACACACACTCAAATTGTACTTGCATCTCTGAGGCACTGTCGATTGTCAAGTTCCATTATATTCCACTGCATATCAAGGGAAATGTGCTGTCTGTTCTCTGTATCTCTCCGTCAGACATACTCCTCACTAATATATGCACATAGCAGAAGGGTACGCTTGAGGACAATCCTCTGTATAATGTTTGCCATCATTTTCGCCAGTTCTAATGCAAGCAGCGAGGAATATCAACTCCAACAATATGACTCTTATATTTTCTGTTAATTCTTTCCCGTAGAGAAGACAAAAACAATGCCAATATTTATTGCCGTCACTTTATTGTTTCAGAATGAATATGACTGTATAGACTTGCACTGCTGGATGCTTGTCCTGGAAATTGTCCTTGAGTTTCCTCAAATATAGGGCTGTACACATCTAGAAACTAAACAAGGGCCTTTAGATACATTTTAAGAAAACATATTGGCATTTATTAAATATTTCCTTATTGTCGTCTAGAGAGACAGCAAAGTGTGGAAAAATAACACCACTCTCATTGATATCTGAAGAAAAGCTCGGCATTTACTCCCCTCAGTCGTCCTCGTGATTTTCATGATATGTGGTGCAACCTTCAAGTATCTTCAGCACCCAAATATAGTTTCTGTCTCTCCACTGCTTTTGTACTAAAGCTCAGAATTCAGGCCAAGTGAGATGGATGTTGCCAACACTCCCCTGGTATACTGGTGCTAAAAAGGCAACCAGTTTTGTCCTTTGATTTGGGCTTTTTTCAATTTATAGGTCCATCATTTCCTCCTCCACAGTCCTTCCACTGGTTTCAACATACCGCTCTTGCACTCCAAGAGTGCTGGAGTGCTGTTAAGGAAAACATAAAATAACACATTTTACAATAAAAGATCCAGGTTACTTTTAGCATAATTTATCCCGAGTCATCATAAACAAAAGAGTATTCAGTATTTCAGCCACCTCCTGTAAATCTTAAGGTTTTTAAACCAGATGACTCACGGTGAGTCACCACAGTGATTAGGAAAGGATACGAGTCAAACTGGAAGTCTGCCCCCACAGCAGCTGACATCATGGCCTGCAGATTCCTCTCCTCCAGGTCTCCAAAGCAGTAGCCGTTGGCCTTGTCCACTGCCCGTAAGACCTGAATCATGCTCTCTTTGTCCTGGGGACAGAAAGGAGAAGCATCTGATCAGGGGGGGTTTCCTTATAGAAATTCAGTGAAACTCCCTCACGAGCAAATATTTGCTGACAAAACTCTCACTGAAACCTTTATAATGTGCTGTTTAAATACAATTGTATTTCTTGTTTTCTGAATCAGTACAAGAATATAAAGTGTATAGAAGTAATGAAATCACAAGTCAGTGTTCGATTGGACATGTTTTCGTATGTCCTAACTCTCTTTTCCTATTGTTTTTTTCTTCCAGTCAGATCTGCTGCAGCATACAGGCAGACGTCTCCCTCGAAAACATTTTGAAACCTTCTTGAAAATGTGGTCATGCAATCTCTTCAGCCTTGGTGTCGGTTTATCAAGGTTCAGTATTTTGAGATAAGCTACATACGAAGCCATACAAACCCAAACTTCCTCCACTGCTCATAGTTTAGCATTTTGTCTTTCTCAAGGTCAAACGCGTGTTTGCAACTTCCAATTGCAGTGTTAAGTACCACTGGTAACCAAGGTAACTAGTGGCTGCTTAACTTAAAAGGGAAATGCATCAATGCTGCGTTTTACACCATGATGGAAACAAGAGTGCTAACCTGCCATTTGTATAAATTACTGGTCCCATATGTGGTGATGGCACAGCGGTCTAGACTCCTGTCTCTGGATACACACACAGGATCATATCAGTCTCCATAAAGAAATAATGTCAGGGAACGAATACAGTGTGCAGACAGCCCACTCTCTTTTAACACTCTAATCCATCTGCAGAAAATTGATCCAGTGTTCAATTTCAAATGCTAAAAATGATTTATGATTTACCTGTTGAAGAGATGAAATATGTGGCGAGTGATTTTAAAAATACTTGGAAGGGAGCCATTTTGGCAAAGGTGAATTAACGTAGGAGTGAAAACACGTTCGAGCCAGTTCTCTTCTGTTTTCTGTGGGTAATAAACCCGTCTACGAAAATATATCAGGCAAACTCCACATACAGTTATTAAGTAAGAATTAATTAATATTTGGTGCCAACTTTGCTTTCAGTCAAAACATGAAATGAGTTTTAATAAACAAAAAACGTATTGCTCTGAAGTATGTACTAATCTTTCAGCCTTTTCTAAGCTACACAGAAACTGGAGAGGACAGATTTGTGTGTAGCCAAATGCAATATACAGTAGCTCTGTGAAGCACATTTCAGAGCACTATTATGTCCTATTGGCTAGAATGTAGCAGCAGCAGTATAAAACATACGGAGCATTAGTCACTGAGGGTCATTCTGTCAGAAAAAGCAAACAGTGATACCTGCACATTGAGGGGCACGAAGGAGACGAGGCTGTAATCCTGTATGACCTCGGCCAACTTTTCATTTAGACGGTGGAATTTTTTAAAGAAGGGGTCTGCGGCCAGGTGATCAAGAAGATACGTCAGGTCCATGACCTCTGTGTAGAAGTCAAGGTTGAAGGCTGTACAAGAACACAGACAGGAAAAATGTTATGAAAGTGGGTTATGAATCCTCTGTCTTCAGCTGTCTTATATTTTGAGCGTGGTAACATTTGTTTTGTTTTTGTTTGAGGTGACGCCAACACACCAACTCACCTAGTTTGCCATACTGCTCAATCAAGTCCATCTTGGAGAGGACGTTGACATGGGGAAGCTCCACGTGCAGCATGGTGGACAGGGAGGTGCAGAGCACAGAGATGAACTTGGCTGGGTCAGCACAGTAATGAGAGTCCACAAGGTGCACCGCTGTGAGCTTAGAGAAGCAAGAAAGTGTGGGAGAACGACAGCCATTACACTTTAACATTATGTTAACATTATTCCCATTTGTGGACGCTTTTCGAGAAGCTCACCCTGAAATTCCACTTTGCCAGCTGTGAGAAGATATTCTTCACCGAGGTCTGGTGGGTGTAGAGCTCCACTTGTCCAGGACAGTCAAACAAGAAGTAACAATCACTGTGCTGTTTCAGCTTGTTCTCTAACCAGTCCAGATTGGCTTCAACATACTCCATACAGTAGAGGAGCCCACCGTTGGGCCCAAGCTTCAGGCCCTCCATAACATCATCCAGAGTGACCAGCTCTGAGATGTCTACCCCACAGGAATACGGCAGTCCTTCGTTGGCAGGGTCCATGTTCACCACAACCACCTTGCGGCCCAGGTGAGTAAGGAACTCCTGCATTCCTTGGCAGTAGGTGGTTTTTCCTGAGCCGGGGGGTCCAATGACCACCTGGCCGAAGCGTAGAGGGGGCGTCACTCCTGTCTGGCTGGACATGGTTGCAGTGTCAAGGGGACTGAAGAGCTGTAGAGGATCCGAAAGATGGGGACCAAGGGTGTCAGAGGGGCCACATGAGTCGTCCTGTGCGGGGTAGCGTCCAGATAGTTCCCTGACAGGGTCAACCAGTGTCAAGTATGAACACAAAGAGGATTCAGCCTTTTTAACCTTTACCTAACGTTAGCTACTATCTAAAGCAACAAGTCATCTCGATTCCATCAACACACTCAGGGAACCAAGTTCATTAACACTTCCCACCTGCAGCTAAATAAGAGTTGTCTGACAAAAGATGAATCTACTCTACCGCTACAACTTCTGTTGCAACATTTCAGGTTTTTATTTATAAAAGTAATAAGTACTGATGATAATTACCATCCGCCGCCGTTTTGTTTGCATGCGTACAATGGTTGCTAGCTTACTAGCTATGCTACCCTAAAGTACATCCGGGTCACGGAACCGAGATGTCAAAATAAAAGTTTGTTGTTTTTGTCAATAAACATGGGGCACTACCTCTGCGATGGTACCTTATATATTATTTTATACACACACACACACATATATATATTTAAATATTATTTTATATATATTACACCATTAATACATTCTAGACAGTGAAGCATTAGCATAGGAAGACAAGTTTTAGTGTGATAATGAGTCAGCAATTTGAGACATTACAACATTAGTATATAAGTTAAAAGACAAAATCAGCACAGGTGAAAGGAAAGGTTTGAAATTTTGTTTTAATGGAAAAGTCAAATAAAAAGGTGAATACAATTTTTTTTTTTATAAAACAATAATAATTTAATTAAAGTCATCTTCGTGGTCCAATGCTGCCACCTGGCTGCCAGCCTCTGTACTTCATACTTGTGTTTGGTTGACGTCTCAGCAACGTGTCACCTCCGTCTATGTCTTTGGGTTTATCGTACACTGTAGTTATATGAAAATCTTTTTTGGCCTTTTTTCCAGAATGTAAAAGTAATTTCTCTCCATGATACCTGCAGAAAAGAAATACAATAGCATCAGAAGAGCACTAAAACAGTGTCCACTCACTTGCATACCACAACATGCAAGCGATTACATATTCTTGATTCTGTGTTCGTGTTAATACACACCCAAAGCCTCTTTTGCAATTGGGATGTTGGCCCTCATTCTCAAGAGCGTCAGGAATCCCAACCTGACTGTTTCCCAACCCTTCACCATCCTTCCAGCCCTGCTTTTCCATCAAACGACGACCAAAGCCCTTAAAAGAAAAAAAAAATCATTAAAAAATTGCTCATACAGGCTATGGTAGAAAATATGGAAGGCAAATTAAAGACCACGTCCTTACCTTAGTGAACTTCTCAAAGCTGCCAATAGACTGACTGTGTCCAGATCTATCTTCAAGACCCTCCCTCAGCCTTTTTTCATACCGCATTCGGACATAGTCGCGGGCATCCATGTCCCCTCCATCTGTGAGAGGAAGACCTTGGTTAAAGGAAATCTGACTCTGAAGAGATAATTCACACTTTATCAATCAATGTAACCACAGATGTAAAACAAACTTGAGATACCTTTATCATAGTAAACACTCATGTCGACATCCCAGTCATCTGCTGTTTGTTCATCAAAATCTAAAAAAAGAAAAGGACACATAAATGTAATCAATATTTCATCAAGCAAATATAATTAATATGTCATTTTTTTAATCTATAAACATATATTTTGATGTACCAGCCTCTTGTGGTAAGTGTGGAAAACAATGATTTAATGTTTTTGTTGCATACCTCCTTCTTCCTCATGCCAGTACTGGGCATCAGTGTAGAACACAAGGCCCGAGCCGCCCTTCTCCCACTTCAGCTCAATCTCCTCTTCAAACAGCCTCTCTTTGCTTCGCTCCTGGCTCGTTACATCCTCATGCAAAGCCTCATGGCGCTCCCACTCCTCACACCAGTCATCATCCTACAGCCAACAACACGAATAATTGACAAACAACGCAGCAAAGGGATGGTGGTGACAATGACAATGCAGCCCCATACCACAGCCTGCTGATGCTAACAATCAAATGCATTTATATTTTACATTATATCTAATGAATACAAATGGGTGTGAACCTACATCATCGGCATTTGACTGTTCATCCTCCTGCTGTTCCTGCTGTGGCTCATCAGTGTCTGTTGTTTCTGTGTGATCTGCCGGCTGCCTCCGTCTTGCAGGCGGAGCAGACAAAGTGCCTGGTCCTGATATTTCATGTCCAGCAGCTGTTAATACTGTCTCCTCTGTGGCTGGAAGCGTCCAACTGTCCCGATACTGAAAATATACATTCCCGTAGCGCCGATTGGTGCTGGTCTTGGGGAAAGTGAGGCCCAACTTCCGGATGAGGCGCGGAGGCAGTCGGCAGGACTGGATGAGCTGTAGGAACACTTTCGTCGGTGTGCCCACATTCCCATTCTGCATCAGAGCGGGTGGATTCAGCTCCGATAAGCTTTTGAGGTCCGCCTCTGTGAAACAGTCTGTTAAGGACACCCGGTGCCGCTGCTCGTACTTTGTTTTATACGGGAATGACCCATCATCTGAAAGAATAAAAACAAATTATATATATATATAACAGTTAACATTTTCAATTAAACACGACAAAACACTAATAAACAGTAACACGTACATAAATTCTTTGTAAGACGTTTTTACATTTGGGAGAAGTTGTGTCTAAAATGAGTTAATCTGACTGAAAATGACTCAACTGTAGTTTTGATTATTAATTTACTGCTTGACTCTTTTCGGGGTAAAATATCAAGCATTTGATGATGATCACAAATGCCAAGAGACACTTGCACTTCTTTTGTTTCTTATAATTACAAACTATATGAAACAGGGGGGGAAAGTACTAAGTGGGCAGGAGATCGGTGGGACGATTCGAACATTTTAAAATAATTGCGTTACATGATATTATCACAATAATCATGAAAATATACTTTATATTATTAAACAGAAACACCTCATCTCCGTGTTCTTTATTTTGTAATCTATACTACTTCCACACATCCGGTTTATTTATTTATTACAGGGAACAGGCAGGCCAGCCTTCAGCCATGGTGACAGGCTGAGGACTTTAGAATAAATATAGTATATTGTCCCATCCACAGTGGGGAGTTTTACAATTTGGGCTCTGATAATTTGCGACAGCCATGTTTCATTATCATAGAGGGACTCAGACTTTAAACAACAGAAGCCAATACATCCTAACTGTTAGTCTTTGACTGAGTCAGACTCCCAAAACACTTGATCCTATACTTCAACCAACTACATAACCCCTGTTTATAACGCAGGCTTTACATTA